GTACTTGTGTACGAAGTTCTGCGTTGTATCTGTCTATCTGTACACCTGTTATCCTAATTTAAGCATAGACCACCGATTACGCTACTCCAACCTTCTCTGTCTTGAGCCTTTTTTTCCAGTTCTATAGTTCATTGTTTTCCTGTCTGACTGCAATCCCCGGCCTAATGTGTTCTTTGGACTTCCTCTTTTACTTTCGCCTTGAGGATCCCAAGTGTTTTTTTCAGTGCATGTTCTATACACCTCGAGCGCTTCTTCAGCGTTTCTTCCTCCACTGAAATCTGATTTGTTCTCTCACACAGGATCCATCATATATATATATATATATATATATATATATATATATATATATATATATATATATATATTTGATGTACCAAATGAGAAGAATCAATAGAAATTTAAAAACTTCACTAAAATGATTCAAATAGCCAATACATAAATTCGTTCAAATTGAATCATTCAATGCAAAAGCTGATCAGATCTTTTTTTACATAGATATACAAAGACTTGTATTGTCCCCAACTCTTGTTTTACACCACTAAAATTTATTCGTTTCAACTGTTTAATTTAAAAAAAATTATTAAATAATTAAAAATATTTATACACAACAAATATAAGGATATTAATAAATGACCCAGTAACAAAATTAACAATTAATTTTTAATTTCAGTAATCATTAGTAAAACACAACAATCAACCAACCAACTTAGATCTCAATCAATATTGCTTAGGTACACAAAAACTGAACTTGTGAACACACATGGTCGTTGTCACACTTACACACACTAGGTCACCGGCTGCTCCCTCGTTTATCGAATTATCTAAAAAAGAAGTGGGGCGGGCGGTGGTGGGCTTGTTCAGTGCATAACATCAAGGTGTGATCGAAAGGTGTGTGAAAACGATTGAATAAAGAAATAAACAGAGAGATCGTGGTGACTAACACATACATGGCAAGCCAATTCACACACACATACACATACATTGATGATGTAATCGATTAGCATGCTTAAAAAGCTTGTTATCTATTTATCTAATTAAAATTTTTTGACAAAAAAGTAACCAGCCAGAAAAATGTATGAAAATTATTATTATTTTTTCGAAATAATAATAATAACCATGCGAAAACCGATCAAATAAAGAACGACAATTCATGAAAGTGTTGTTGTTGTTGCGGCCATTGCCGTTGTTGACCTCTTCACAGTTGGTAGTGTAGTAGTTGACCATTACCAACTGTGAATCGGAAAACAAAAATTATTTTTTTTTAATGGAATAAATTAAAAGATTCGTGTTTTTTTATTTAAAAAAACCCTCAATTCAATGTATTACAAGTGTTCAATAGTCATTTTTTTGTTTGATAAGATATTAACTATGTGATTTATTGAATCCTAATGAAATGGTAGTGTGTGTGTGTGTGAATGTAATTTAATGAAAAAGTTTCCAATGTAATTTATAAACAGTTTAATAGTTGAAAAAAATAAAATAAATGATTTTTTCAAGTGAATTCATTTTTGATTGAATAGTGGTGATATGCTCGTCAAAGTGATATACTTGAATACTAACTATTACGAGTTCACTTTAGCTCGGTAATTAGAACTCAAATTGAGTTATAGCTAATAGTCTAGATTGGTCAGTATGTAGTGAAGGAGAACACAGGTGAGGGCAACCGAATTGTATTTAATCGCAAATTACAGAGTTACTAAGTAAAATCGGAAAACCATATCGTAAATCGTTCATTTGCAAAATATCAGTTCATCGTATCGAACTGGACTGTTACTGTTGCAAAACATCAATCCATTGTTTGACATTTCACTATTCATGCGTTTCATACAAATTCCATTGTGTTCTAACTCTTCCTTTCTTGATCTTCCCCATTTTCTGCTGCCAGACATTACGTTTTTACTCGCGTCATTTACTACTCATAAGTAGCGCGCACCATAAGTAATCTTCAATGTTACTAATGATGAGAACTATCATATTTCTGTTACAATCACTAACCATAACTTCAGGAATCCATCTAGAAGTGAATTACTAGAGTGAATAGATTTGCATGAAAAGGTTGTAGAGATTGTTCAGTTACTCTATTTATAAATCATGAATTAATCATTGTTAGGTCACCATTAGAAGAAACCTGGAAGCACTGGACGGCTGTTTCTTCCTGGTATAGGACTCATCCGTAGTGTGCAGCCACAGCTCCTGCTACCCGTAGGATTCGAACTCAGGACCACCCATCAAGTGTTTTTCTTCACAAATTAAATTAATCTCTATAAATTAAAAAAAAAATTTATTTCCCTATTTCTTTAATAATAATTTTTTTAAGTATCATCGCTGAAATAGTCTTGTTTTATGCGTCACAATTTCATTGATGCTCAGCATTTTTAAATTATCTAAAATTGTTCACGTGATCTATGAAATCACTACTGACAACTAAACTGAGCCATATTAAAAAATGTATAATACCTGAATCGAGTCGCGTCATTATCGGAACCGATGGTCAAAGACTTTGAATGACATGGCTCAAAATCGTTTGCAATGTCACAAATACATCCACTCTTTGTCTTCTCTCAAATTCTGAATTCATCTACTTCATGAATAATATCTTCGAACCTTAATCTTCTCCATTACCGCTAATACTTCCTACTATCTCTACAACTATGCGATTTGAATTGACAATTTGATCTCTGTGTTCTAATGTGGCATGGCAACTTGAACTGATTTATGTACGTACGTACGAAGTTCGACGTTGTTGCTGACTGACTGACTTTATTTTATGAATTATTTAAATAGTTCAAAGATGTGTGATTATTAGTAAACTTGAATAATTAATTAATTTACATTACGGGGTTGTGAAGATTGTTAAGTTACACATTTTTGAAACCATGAATCGATCAATGTTAGACCACCATTAGAAGTACTGGACGGCCGTTTCGTCCTGGTATGGGACTCCTCAGAAGTGCGCATCCACGACTCCTGAACCTCGCAAGATTCGAACCCAGGACCTTCGGTATTGTGCGCGAGTTCTAATGGGAAGACGTGACCAGTGAAGTTCAACCTGTTCGGGTGTAAACAGTAACTACCGAAGACTGTGTATGAGGATGCGCAACTCCGTGAATTGATCAAGTTAGACATTAACAGTGTTAGATACCGGCTCAGTGGTCCGATGGTTAGGTGTTCGCGCACAATACCGAAGGTCACGGGTTCGAATCCTGCGGGATGCAGGAGTCGTGGATGCGCAGTCACTGATGAGTCCCACACCGGGACGAAACGGCCGTCTTTCAGTGCTTCCAGGTTTCTAATGGTGTGGTCTAACATTGATCGACCCATGGTTTCAAAAATGTGTAAATTAATTCATTGTTTGAATGTTTAATCTTGAAAAAGAATTCCCAATGTATTAGCCTTTTTCATGAGATACTGATATGAGCTAGACTATCATTGTAGCTGAACAGTAAAAAATGTTAGATACCGACTCAATGAAATAGAGATTAAGTGTTCACATGCGAGAACGAAGGTCCTAGGCCCAATTCCTACATACGTGTCGTATATGTGCATTGACGCGGAGCCCTATACTAAGACGTGAAGGACATATCCAGCACTTGTAGGTTTTCGATGGTGGTCTAGAGTTGATTGGCTCATGATGTCAATCGACCTCAGTGTTATGCTTGTCACTAGTTATGTTAAAAACTATTACAGGTTCACCTTAGTCGATAAACGAGAAAATGAACCAGCGTTCAGGTAGACTACTCTGATCCGTTGACCCAAAAATCATGATATAGCGAAGAAAGTGTATTCTGCAAACACCCAGCAAACACACAAATCGCGTTTATCTACACAACATAGAGACGTCCTTGGGAGAGTCACAAAAACAACACAGCAACCAATCACAGACAAGGTTTTTTCTGGTGGGAAATATGATCTCAAAGTCAACTAATCAACCAATAAATAAAATGAAAAATAAACACATTTATCAAACGAGTTCTGGGGATCTAACATCCCCAACACTCAGAGAACTTCGATCTCACGCGCGAACGCTTAACCTCTTGAATATTGTTTAAAAATGAATTATAGTGTTTCTTAATGCTTAAGAAATTTCACAGTTGAATAAATTCATATCTTAATGAGATAATGAACTTCTCATCACGAAAGTTTTAAACAACCTAGAATTATGATAGTTACATGACTTGTTTGATTATTTCAAAAAAAGAAAGATTAAACGGCTAAAGTTTTTTAAACATCTAATTGATTGGATTCTTTTAATAGGTTGACGTTTTTTTCTTTATCGAATGAATCCTTAATTGGAAAATCGGAAATAAGAATAAAACAATAAACTTTGAAATTTTTAAAATCATAAAAAAAGCACATTATATCTTTGAGATAATAGTTTACATTTATTAATTCAAATTTTGCTTATTTCAATTAGATCAAAATCATATATTGCTATAAATGATCTGATTAATGCACTCATCATGCTAGATTGATTAAAATAGAGTACATGGAGTAAAGCCAACAGTGGAACATAAGATACGTGTTTCCTCTTATTTGGCGCCGGCCAACTGGATGGTACATGCATGTCAGTGTTTATATTCACGTCGGGAGTCGAACCAAGCATCTTTCACCTCTAATGCCTAATATATGACAAACTATTGAATCTTGATAGTTATTGACCTACGTAGTGGATTAATTTTGATTCAATTTGAGATGGTTTGGACCATGACTGAAATTCGACCAGTCTTAGTTGAAGGCGGTTAGTAGGAAACTGTAGGGTGAGTTGGTGCGCATCATCAATGCGGTTTGACGATCCATATATGATTGAAAATTTTAACAATCTGTTTCATAAACTCAAACGTTATCACTGAGCTGTTCAAGCTACAACTGATTGATATGTTTGAAACTATTACGAGTTCATGCTACTCGGTAAACGAGAGAGGAGACAAATAATGCAGTGACATGATAGGCTATTCTGTATCAATTGTCCCCGGCCCTGCTAACGACATCACAAGTCCTGATATGGCGTAGAAAGTGTATTCTACAAGCACCCAGAAAATATGAAGTTGATAAGCACACAAATCAAGCTCATTTATACAATGATAGCCATGCCCTTGGGAGAACCACAAAAAAGCATACTAAAATAATCCATCAACCAATGACAGTTAAGAATTTTCTGAGTGGGAAATGTGAGCTCAAGATCAACTGAGCGACTTATTCGCGAAGACATAGAAAATAAGAACATTTTACAAGTGAGTTCTGAGGATCTAACAATGATCGTCTGTAGGACTGGAATATTATCACTGATCAAAAAGTAAGGCTTTTGATAAATATTTACTTAGACTAATAGTTACACTCTGAGGTCATCAAAAGAATTTGATCAATGTTAAGGGTGAAAAAGAAATTGTCCACATACTGAGTGAGTGATCAAACAATTTCATTATTCTTTCTTCATCAAGGAAACAGTTTAAAACAAAAAAAAACAAAGTCAGTCATTTGAAAAGTCAATTTCACGAGAGAAGATACTGTATAAATATGTGTGTATGACAAAACTAGAAATATGTACATAATAATAGTATTGATTAGAAGATTACATTCAGATATTGTACAATCATATCAGTAGTGGTTTAATAGCAACAAATTATTATCGAATAGTAAGATTTAATTTTTTAGCTAAAACTTGTCCAATATTCTCATGTAATGGTCGTACTTCATCCATTGTTAAAGTTTTATGCTGATCTCGATAGATGAAACGATAGCAAAGACTTTGTCGACCTGTTTTCGGATCTTTGTATGAATCGATTAGACGAATCTAAATAAAAGAGGAAAATAAAAATGGAGATAAAGAATTTAACTACTAATTTATAATGTCAGTAGTATGAATTTTTTTACAATAGATTTAATTATTGTGCTTGACATCAGATGTGTTACTTTCAATTGATTTATATAAGGGGAAAGAACAATGTATTAAACCCTCACTTGTTCTATTAGATCACCAATTTCAGAGCGTACAATATCGAAAATATCCCTTTCTATTATTTTAATTCTATCTAATCCATCTGGATTGATTGACGACAAAGATGGTGATGAGGTTGATTCAGAGTTGTTTAACCAGAATGAAAAATCCAATACACACGGAGGAAATATACTGACTGGCTAAATTACATATAAAAATAAATGAAAAAATAGACATACTGATAATAAGTACTAAAAAAACTTTTTTTCATTGTTAATATGAAGCTTTTAATTTGCTCAAACGAAGTACAAGTTTGTATAGGGGTCGGATTTGGGAAAAAATAAGTTTTCTATGACAGTTAACACTATTGTTACTAATACTACTTATTACTAACTACTGCTACTACCTGAACCGAAGAGGTTGGAGTAAACTCGAATTTGAGCTACACAGTGGTTATAGATTAAATGGATTTTAACAACGAAATCACTTGATCATAAAAATATTTTGTAATTTTTTTTTAAATGTACACCACTTTCTAATGGTCATCAAATGACCTTCTACTTTGGCCATTTCTGATAGGCTCACTTTATCAGTATTCATTATAAAACAGTTTGGAATTAATTACTTGATTGTTTATACTGCAAATTTGTTGTTGACTCAAGTGAACAAAAAAGGAGAATAAAGATGTAGATACAAATCTGAAGTGGTTATGAAGACGTTTGCATTAGCAGCGCAGGGGGATGTGAGAAGGATGAGTTGTATAGATAAGAGAGATGTTAGGTGGCGTAGGAAGGATTTGATTTTGACCAATTTGGTCTCCTGTGCTGTTACTGGTATGAGGGTGGATGTCACTTCCCCGCTGCCCACACCGTGGAAGGGTGTTGTTTCTTGAAGAACCTGAAAATGGAGGTAGATTAGCGTTGGTCTTAGAGACCTTGGAGCTTGACCACATAGCCCAAAGGACAACTGCTTGAGGCCGGTCATGTAGAACCTTTTGATGAGAAGTTCTTAAAGTTTTAGATTCATTCTTTTTAAGAGGTCTTACGGCCGGAGATCGAAATCCGTGAGGTATGACATTGAGACGTTGATCGAAACGTAGAGAAGAGAGATTCGTCAATTGGTCAGCTACAGCGTCGAAGCTGGTGCACACGTACATTAGTTCAAGTTGCCGTCCCATAGTAGTAGAGGTAGTAGAAGTATTAGCGGTAATCGAAATGAATGGGGTTAGGAGAAATTATCCGAAAAGTATAATCCAGTGAAATAAATTTTAAAAGAGATATAAAACGTCCTGAGCTCGTGAGGTCATGAGAGAAGACAAGGAATGGATGCACCTGAGCCATAACAAATAATGTTGAACCATGTTATTCAAGGTTTCTAACTATCGATTACTGTTGTCTCTCGGACCCCAACCAGGTAGTCGACACCTACCTACACGACTCAGTCCACTTGTCAGTGACTTCATGGATTTCTGCCATGTTTTATTCTGGCCGCCCCTAGCTTTCTTCTAACCTAGTTCTACACCGCAAAATATAGCTCGACGAGGCAGTCGGTGGTTGGGCATACGCAACACATTACCTAACCACCTCAACTCATGATGTCTTGATACTTCACTATTGATCTGCCATTCTTACCTAGTACTCGCTTCCTGACGACAGCATTGCTTACTCGATTGTCTATGTATACACGAGCAATGCTTCGGACACCTACGAACATCTTCTATTCTGACTGGCCATGTTTCACAGCCATAAAGTAAGACGGAGCGAACTACTGCGCAGTACACTCGTCCTTTGGTTAGCAAACGAATGTCTCGCCTACGCCATAAGTGATGCCAGGCGGCAAAAGCCAATCGAGCCTTCTGTATACGAGCTGAGATTTCGTCAGTCACAAGGCCATCGGCACTGATGAGACTCCCAAGATAAGTGAAGCGGTCTACACGTTCGACTACTTCACTCCCTATCACTAGTTCAGGTGCCAATGCAACCCAGTCTTGAAGCAACATTTTGCATTTCCAGGGGGAAAACCGCATCACTAACATGCTTGCATTGTT